AACACTCTACAACTTTATTATTAGTAAAACTATCCGAACGGTCGTATGAGCTTTATAACGTTTGTTATAAAGCTCACACGCCCTGATATTTTTGGAGAAAACCTCTTATGAATTGATAGTTGAATTGCTAAATATGTGTATTTAGATGTTACTTTCAGTAGTCGAGCTGAAATTTATGTTATATTCCAAAGTTATCCATGTATCAAATATTAACACCAACATAATGCGTAATATCAAATCAAAAGGTACGTAATGTGATTAAAACAAAGATCTTAGAGGATCAAACTGTTGTCGTTCTTTATTTATAGGCACACATCCACCGAAGACAAAGTGGTTAGGAATTCAGCTGGCGCTATGGAAAGGCATCCTCACGGCATTGCATAGTTATTGGGAAAGAGGTACCGGGCGTCCGCGCAGGTATTTGGGTCGTAAAGAATGTTAAAGGCACGCAGGCGGGACGCTATAAAACCAGGGTGGCCGTGTCTGCTCCGTGTTGCTATGTAGGTAGATTCTGGAGATCGCGCTTAAGCGGAAGATTATCAACGAAAAAAAATAGCTTGGAATACATTCGAGAGAACATGCGATCAAATGGTTAGTATTATACTTTTCCACGCAGAATATGCGAACAATACACTCTTAGGGGGGTAGATGGATAGATGATGGATGTAGAACTTATATTATATATCCAAACTTGCCGTAAAAGCTATCTTTAACCTTGTCCCACCAGGGTTCAATCAGATTAGAGAAGCGGGAAGCGAGCGACATTAATGACAAAGGATTAGAAATGCAAGTCGAGTTTTATCAGCGATAAAACTTTAACAAGTCTAGAAAGATATATCGGTTATTTCACATGGATAAGGAAAAAAACAACTCTGACTTCAAATATTTTAAGCTCACGTTAAATAAGTTCGGCACCCTACACATACATGTACGTTTTATTACATAAATACATTAGTACTAATAATAGCTGCAGGAAAAATCGAAAGGATTTAGTTTAAAGGCGATTTATTTTAACTAAAGATATAATATTCTAACAGGGTTTCAAACAACCCGGTTTCATTGAACTGAAATTGTTGTGAGACAAAATAAATTATTTAAATTTTATCCTTTTATAATACTGTAATCACGTACTATATCCGTAATGTCTACATACATAATGTTTACTGTTTGTGTTGGTCAGGTCCAATTATTAAATATTATTATATTAATAAAAAAGTAAATATAATTATTATATTAATAGAAAAAGTCATAAAGTCTTATTTCACTTTTGGGTACATTGACGGACTCACTGGACATGGCTCGTAAATTCACGATCGCATTACCTAGAATATCAGCTTCGTCCAGTTGCTTGCAATCAAGCAAACACCCACTGCACATTATTCTGTGTATACATAATCTTATGCCTTTAAACGAGCAATTTCTGTATATATATAATTATATATATACACAGCGTGTCGTTAGAACCGCGACAATAAATGAACACACGTCTAACGCTACTTGCCAATAATCATACAAAAATATAAATTAAAAAAAAACCATCATTAACAAAATATTTACCAAACAAACTAATTAAATAAAAAAGGAAAAAAAAATTATAACAATTTATATAGGATAAATACAACTGGCTGATTCATACATTCAGAGACTTTTTCATTCGTTACCACAGCGTTGCGCTACAAGCCTTCTAACAGCATGTTTAGTCTCTTTTAAATTCATTCAATCCATTCATATGCTTTGTGACAAATGAACTTTACGATACAGTTTTATACGTAAGGGTGTTCTAAAGCTGTTTGTTTTGGAAAATTTAATACCTCGGTAAATATTTCGATTTAAAGAATGTAAATGTTTAATACAATTTTAAATAGTTATCCTCTATATGTGTGTTCATTTATTGTCGCGGTTGTAACGACACGCTGTATATATATATATATATATATATATATATAATCGGAATCTCAGAAACAACTCCAGCGACTTTCATGAAATTTAGTGTGTGCGTAGATTTGGGGGCAAAAAATCCGAAAAATCTATCTGGCTAGGTTTCATTTTTAGAAAATGTAGTTTTATTGCAGTTTTCAGAGAATGTAAAATATCATTCGACTACCACGGTAAATTTCACCGAAAAAAAATGTTATAATAGCACGCGGTATTCGGGCGACTCCAAAACAGAAGGCCGTGGTTCGTGTCACGATCATTTACACACTCATTTTTTTACTTTTTTTTCGATTCCAGATCATTGCATTCTTTATTTTTAATTTTTTGTCGATCCAGATGATTTTGTTACTTTTTCCCTTCTTTTTAAAGTTCTTTATTTTGTGAAAAACACCAGTTCATACTTTCTTATTATAACGTCGGTAAGATCGAAATATATTATGCATATTTCATTACTCAGTAATATGTATCTAAATGTAATTTCCAAAATACAGGATTTACCAAAAAAAAATAAACAAACTGGTCCTCCAGGTACTTATACTAATAAGATGTATAACTTTTAATCTAACTAATTGTAACTGACTGCCTAGTTTCTAATAAATATTCTTTTTTGAATGATTTAGTTTAATGGTTTTAAATGATATTATTACTTATTAGTCCAATTAAATTGTTCATCATAATACATAAACAACAATTCTTTCTAAGATATATATTTAGTATAATTTTGTGGGTATTCATACTTAAAGGTTTTGTAAAACTCTCGAACGACCTTTCATGTGATTAATAAATAATAATAATATTATAAATTATTAATAGGTAGTTACACCATTATATTAATAAATGAGGAATACTTTACTAAATCGAGAACCTGTAACATTCGCCCATTGTGATCGTTGAGCACATGGGCCTCAACCCATTCGTTAGATACCTTTAGAAACTGCTGATAATTCATAAAAAGTGCCACGCATGACGCAACCGATGCTGAGGTACCAATGCGACGCAACGCAATGTAGACCCCCATATAACGACCACTCCCTATATAATATACGCTATGTATATATTAGACTACTATTAAATTTTGTATGTGAATAAAGGCTATAATATTATTATAAATATTATGGGATTATTTCGTTTTGCTGGCGTCTGCTTAGGTTTATAAAAAAATATACATGAAATGTAATCTAACTAATACCAGCAGATACATCTATAATATATATGTATAAAAATGAAACCCCTATTTCCCTTGGGCACGCCATCACGCGTTTGAAAACTTTAAAAAAATTGCCTAAAAAAACTCTAAAAACAACACTTCTTTATTCCCGTACAAAAGATTCGTAAGAATACTTAAAAGTCAATTTGAACTTTAATACCATACCATAAAGCTTAAGTGTTAGTGGAGGGGTTCCGGGAAGGCAAAACAAGTGAGTGACTGTGGTAAAATGTCACTTGAAATGTAAACGTCTCTTTGCTGTGCATCACTACATAGTATAAAACAAAGTCAACCGACTGTCCGTCTGTCCCTTGCTTAGATCTTTAAATACTAGATAGAGTGATTCAAGAGGAAAGTTCATATGTATAATACATACATATAGTGCGAAGCCGGTGAGGGTCGCTAGTACTTGATAAATACCAAAGACCGAGAATGAAAGATCCAATGCTCCTGGATAGCTCTTTCTTATTAGCGTTTGAGCTCAGAACAGTTCGTCACGGAGTCCTAGTCACCTCAGATTATACTACTTGTATATAAATATAAAAATATGCCATATATTTAGTTAAATTAATTATAATTAATTTCTAACTTTGCTTCAATCAACATTTTATGTAAAGTTTTTCTGTTGATGAAAAAGGTAGGATGTGTATCTTTTTTGAATGTTGTGATGGTGTTCAGAGTGCGTATAGGCGGTGGCAGATTACCATTTGCCAATCAACAGCTGGCTGCGAATTTAAAACTACCACGGGATGTAAATCAATTTTTATAAGGTTGGCATTATTTAGATAGGGTTTAATGGCCCCTATAAAGCACACCATGCTCAGCTGGTAGCCTGCATGCTTCCAGCGGAAAGTCTAGATCTACCCTGGTGGCCTCCAGGCAACGGTCCTTTGTACATTCTTCGAGTGCCGTCATCCAAAATATTTTAGGGCTTTATTCATCTGTCAAGTTGACCGTTTTATTATTACAATTAAGTGACGTAAATGAGAATGATATTAAGTTTCGACGACGTTAGCACATCTTATTTTGATTCGAATAAACAAACAAATGCATGGCTGAAGAAGTGGACTCCGAGTTTCAGTATAAATAAGCTATACGGATGAAGTGGAGTTAGTGTAATTTGCATGAGCAGTCACTATTCCGTTGAAATATAATCTACTGCTGAATTTTAAAGTGGATGTAAAAAGAAACTGTATGTATCGTAACGGTGAAAGAAAATCAGTACAAGTACGTACATACGTTTCGCTTATAACGAAGTTCGTGTTGGTAAACTTACAACGGTTGTTTTGATTGTTTCAATTTAATATTTAGCTTGCAGTAGTTAGTCAATTAGGTCTAAATGTTTTGTTACGTCTCATTAATGCCTTGTCGCATAAACATTTATCAAAGCTTATTGATAAATGCATTGCAATGCAGTCTTACTTAAGTATAAGAGATAATATTGATTCGATCAAAAACTTAATAATTATGGAAACGTAACAGTGCTAAAATAAGTCAATACAATAAAAGGCACAGGACTCCAGTATATTATATTATGAATATAAAACAGCCTGTAGTTCACTTTAAAAAGATAATTTGCATGAAAATTATGACGGAACACGAGCAAGCCACCGGAGCTTTATTGTAGCGCGCCAGAGAATATTGCTCTACAGTTGTCGGCAGAGCGGAAGCATTAAGGGTCTATATGAACCAGGATGTTCTGTGTGCATTATTACAATAGAACGAATTTTATCCTCTCTTCGAAACCATAGATGAATGTACCTGCATATGTACAATTATAGAGCTAAAACATTGTATGAAACGAAGCCAGTATTTCTGCCGAATCTCAGTGCGACTGCAGAATTCGCGAAGCGCATTAGTGACACTGGTCGGCACACGTTATCCTCACATCGGTGCTGTAATCCGTGGCAGCACTTTTGCCGTTCGTGTAATCTAAAATCGATATGATGCTCCCTCGGAAGTGCGGTTTGGTTCGCTCGAAGTCATTTTCGCAGCAGAAATGTACGCGGTATATGCACCCCTGTATGGGTAAGTAGGCTTGCTTAGACGATTTAGTCACAAGGAGTCGTGCTTTTAGAATCCGATCGTATTACAGTCTAATGGTAACGTATTTGTAAACGGAATTTCGTTACCGTATTTCTTTATTGACGGCATTTCTTTAAAAATTTCTTAAGCGATAACTCATCAACCCGTCGTTCACACTATCATCTACATTCGAGGAATGAAAGAAATAAATTCGACAAAATTGTTCATGTAGGATACATATTTGAACTGTTTATATGCCTTTAAAAAATCTCATATATATATATCATTATAGATATTATAATGTTTCATTCAAAACTGTAAAGATATTTTAAAACTAAGTTAGTAATATGATAAGATCAATGAAAACATTAAAACATGAGAAACAAATTGTTAACATGAATGTCAAAGCTTCCGTTCTTTGATTTTGAATTGTATGAATTGCTGAATTTCTGAATTGATTGAAAACGAAATAATTATGTTATTAGTAACGTAAAACAAGTATAATTTCTTACGTGCGTTCATAAGTATAGACACGGATAATTTTATCCAAAATACCACCATTACATTGAAAGGAAACGGGCACTTCATCAGGGCCATCAAAATGGAAACGAACAGAATACCGGTTACTAAGTTACGCAACGCTTATGAGTGTTAACAGTTTAGAGCCAGCGAGTATCTGGGGGCGAGAGACGCCGGCCAAACGTGACCCGCATACTCACCACCCCCCGCGGGCTGGCGTCCGATATTTGCTTTTTTTTTATTACCGCATCCATATTTCAACAGTAACGCCCTCAACAATATTTGGAAGTACTGAGAGCACTAATGCGTGCGTGGTGGGAAAGATGATCCGAGCCCCTCGATTCGATATTCCTTACGCAGCGTAGGAAACCCCGCAATTGAATTGTTAATAGCAATAACATAATATGGGAAGAATTTTAGATGAAACATATTTTTTACAAATTGAGGCATATATGCTTAACTGTTAAAAATAATTTTCTTTAAATGTTTAACTTTCTATTAATATGTTGAGTGAATGTAAAGTAAAACAAGATTCTGGAATGAATTAATCGTTATGTTTTAATATACCTTTTACTACCTGGTTTAAGACATCTTTCTCTACAATACAATTCTGGCACTAGTATGTCTCATAATTTTACGATTGTGAGATATAAGTGATTGGGTGCCAATAGTAATACTGATATTAGGAGAAATTTATACATATCACATAACCATATTTAAATCATATTCTACTTCGTACAAAATTGAAATAACTACTGAACAAGTTTATCTAACAAGTACCTACAATATAATTGGAAACTCCGAGCTTGAATATTAATGTTTTATATTCAATGTAATATTAATTACTCAGTCATTATTGCTAAACTGTACCGAAATACTCAGACTACCATTAAGGAAACTGTCTGTGTAAAAATATGTGAACGAAAATGAGAAACAATGGTAACAAGATGACAAGATGACCGATTAGACATTCCCTTGTTTCGAGACGATGGCAAAATCCTTCGTGAGAAAAGCTTTAAATAAACGGTTTATGTCAGCGAAACAAAGCATTCCATTCGTGATGTAGTAAATTTGCAATTACAATGTTATAGACTACTATGAATATATATATAGGGATACAGTCAACTCAAGCAGAATTTTTGAGTAAATCTTCGTTTGTAAAATCAACTCACTAACAATTAATCATTAACTAAAAACTTTATCTCAGTCTTCTCGAAACATCTTTTTTTTTACAAGATCACAATTACGAAATAAAAGGTCATAAAATTACATCTCCAACAAAAATCAGTAAGAAAGTGACTAAAGCAATCTAACTCAATACTTGCTCAGGAATCGAATAAGGCTACTTGCTAGCTACTTAACCGCTTATTCTACTATCAACATAATCACGTGTTCACAAAACTGCCTTTTCGATTGATTTAATTTTTGATTGATTGATCCAAAAATCTCCATTTCAAGAAAATATTGAGTGTAGTAGACAACAAATCTTTACCAAAGCAATGGCGAAAGGTATAGAGAAAAAAGTGTAGTCTATTGTGACCATTTGATTGTTCCACATAGCTACGGGGAGAATGAAAACAGACGGAGGCCTCTGTAGAAACGGGGGCAATTAGAGTCAGGCAACCCGAGCTCATACCTACTATGGTCCACAAAATAAGGGGACCCGTTGATTAAGTTGTAAACTATTCGAAAGCAGTGACAAGAATCCCCTCGTGAAATAGTATACATCGGTCAATTAGCCAGATAACAATTGGCTCGAAATTGTATATCCACTTCGACCCAATTAAAAGGCGGAAAACGTTGTTCAGATTCAAATCCGAAAAGTTTAACTAAATAAATCAATTATCACTTTTGGTTATGGACAGTGCGTTCTTTTTTATTAAATCTATACAGATATAATAATATCTATACAGATATAAATAGTGAATTCGTGAATAATACACATAGTGTTCGAAAGTATACATGAGACATTAGTCGTCTGGGGGTTGGTCCAACTTCACATTGTTAAAAACACCATACTGATATATAATTATTATGTACAGCTTTCGATCACGGCATAAAACCTGCCACGTGTTACGTATGGCAAAGCTTAGTTGAACGACCATGGCGGCCAGCGCTCTTTTGATTATACCGTAAAAATTAACGAAAATAATGTTATTTGTTTCAGTATGTAACCAGTTCACACGAAACGTGATCGCAATGCTGGGAGCGGTAACGGCTGACTCTTTTGATACGCTGCATTCTTATACCAATACGTTCCAGTTGCCATTCGTGACCCCTTGGTTCCCTGAAAAGGTAATTATTAATAATTTGTATCTAAGAGCAGTTGAAGTAGAGAGAAGGGTAAGGATTGAATTTACTACGGAAAAATAGCCGTTTCCGAATAAAAAAAAACAAAAAATCTACCTCATCTTAAACCTTTAAACGAGCAATTCTTACGAAAAAAAAATTTATAATAGCTCGGTCGGTAATCGGGCGACCCCGAAACAGAAAGCCGTGGTTCGTGTCACGATCATTTACACACTTATTTTTTACTTTTTTTTTCTATTCCAGATCATTGCTTTCTTTATTTTTCATTTTTTGTCGATCCCGGTTATTTTGTTATTTGTTTCCCTTTTTTTGAAGTTTTTTCTTTTGTGAAAAACACCCGTTCATATTTTCTTATTATTACGTCGGTAAGATCGAAAAATAGTATGCATATTTCATTACTCTGTAATTTGTATCTAAATGTTATTTTCAAAATACATGATCTACCAGAAAAAAACAGGTCCTCCAGGGACTATACATAATATATATAATATAAGTAGTGTATCGAAATAGATAGAAGTGTGTATGAAAATAAAACTTTGAGGTATGGTAAGGGTAGCGTTTTTTAATTTCGATTTTAATAATTCACTTCAGTGTTGCAGGCATGTAGCTTCGGGGTTTAATAGTGAACTCAAATCGCACCTTAAGTTCTAATGTGCGAGCAGCTGCTTTCTAACAGCTGCTACTTAATGTAAGCACACTTACTTGAAATCAGGAACTAAGTAATATAATACTTTAACTAATCCAACGTACCAATATTCTGTATATGTTAATATCAAGTGAATAAATTATAATTTGGAATAAATTATTTATTTTCAGTCCGTTTACTTTAGATTTGAAATAGGTGCGCTGTGAACAGTTCTTAAACTCGTTTTTTAGAAAATTTATTTTATTATAAAGAAGATTAAAGATAAAAGCACATAAGCCATAGCGCCTTGTTCCATTTGTCCCGTTCATTTGCATTTATTAGTTTTGCATCTCGGTATCACGTAGAGGTTAAAATTTAGTGCATAATAATGTCAATATTATATCCATGTTTAAATGTTAAACAGATAAGAATTCTTTTCATTTTTAAGTGTTGCCCTTTCTGTACGATAACATTACGCTGTGTCGTATGTGCATTTTCAAACATAAATTTCACGTGGACATAAACCCAGATCCGAATCAATGAACTGTGTATCACACAAATACTTGTCTCGTGTGGGAATCGAACCCACGACCCCTGGCGCCGAAAATAATACCTTGAAAACTTTGAGGAAGGAGCGTAAAAAGCACCCGTATCGTATGGTATTTATGATTCTATCTATTCTACCGTATGGTCGGTTCATAAATAAATAGATTTTCAATTGGCAAAGACATCATCTTTGCTATTTGCACAACTATAGAGTTTGCTTGAAAAGCTAACACATATTACCTTGACTTCCGTGTCTATACATATACCGATTTTTTTTTTTCGGAGCCTTTTTGGCGTCCCATTGTGGCACTTTTGCAGCTTCTCTTGAGGAACACTTATCGGTTCGATGAATCATCAATATTGGTCACATACTTACTTCTTTCACACATACTTTCTGCATAGAGGTAGTATTAATAGGTAGATCACAAGGGATGTTTCACTTATGGGGCCTGTATATGTTTTATTCATGCCTTACTTTATTTGTAGACATTACGCCAAGGCACTTCTCCCTAGTTGTTCTACCTACATATACTAGAGATTCACAACTACGATTCCGACGTCCCAAACTTTAGTTTGTTGCTGGATTTCAGAGTTGTGAAGTCAATCTTGCAGCTTTTGTTTCCGAGCAAAGGGCCCATGGCTCTCTGTGTGGCTCATATTTTTCTCATAATCTAATGTCTCGGCACCGTGAACAACATCAACCAGTGTTATTATGGTAACATTTTCTTGTATTATTATTGTGGTTTACTAGTAATTCTACACAATAATAAAAGTTTAATCGATATTTTTCTCTTCGTCTTCGCACGACACGACTAACAGAAGACCGGCGTGAAGTGATATACTTCTGCTGTTTGTCTGTTGAGTGAGATAAGATGGGCCCACTTTATTAATAGGTGGTAACACATCCGCAAACCTATGGGTATTGCAAATGTCCATGGATGGCAGTTGTCACTTAACATCGGGTGAACCGTCACCTCGCTTGCCACCTTACAAAAAAAAAAAGTACATGCATAAGGATAGATTGATTCTTACCAAAATGATTGGAGTAGGTGACTATGTAATTATAAATGTGTACATCATAATAAAATATTCGCCAATCGCTTGAAAATTGCAAAGACTGTTGGGTCAAATCGTTTGTCTTCCGATCAAACTTACAGTTATTCGAAGTAATTTATTAGGTATACAATTGGAAAACTTTAAAAAAAAAATGGAATCCACGTCTAAAGAAAGGATAGATTAAGCATAAATTCTGTACTTTTCGTATTTTCCAGTTCATAATGTAACATATACATTGTTGACATCTGCATTGGAATCATCACCAAAAATCTGTTGCCTCTACTTTTGACAGCAAGACAGTTTATATGACAGTTTATACGCTTATGTAGATCGTAGTATGCGACTCGCATATGAAGTGGTATATCTTCAGAGACTGGAAATCTTTTGAAAAAGGTGGTATAAAAATTATACCTATCGCTGAGCACCCCCGTACAGAAACAAATAAATGTATTGTTGCATAGATCATAAATATATTTATTTATATATCATTAAAATAAATATATCTGCAGTTCTTAAAATTTATATATATATATATATATATATATATATATATATATATATATATATATATATATATATATGTGTGTGTGTGTGTGTGTGTATGTATATTTCCGAGCTTTAATCTCAAGGATGTGTTTGTATCGCCTGTTTAAGTAGAATATCACCTGGAAGGTTTCACCGATACTGTATTTGGAGAAGCAAGACATTTTAAACAGT